CTGAATAATTTAAATATAATAAAAATTATACCTAAATTATCAAATAAAAAGCCAACTGACACAAACTACAGTATACTTGATTGTGAGTTTTGTTGGATCAAACAATGTCAAAACTCCTGATCTTATTTGGAAACCCTGACATGGAATCTTTGATGTTTCCCCCAATAGAAAGGGGCACTATGAGTATATTAAAAAATACTACCCTCAATAGATAGCTAGGTTCTTCTTGTATTGGTACCAGCCACATTGATGTTTGAGAAAGAAGAAATTTTCAAAATTAGAACCAGATACTGGCCACCAAAAATGCAAACATCTATCAAAAACCACAACCTGGCCTTCGAATTTGTCCCCTTTTTAAAAAGAATAAGTGTGTAAGGCCTTCTCAGATCTTCTACACCTTGATGATGGCCAAAGACAAACAGGCCCACTTGCATTGAACAGCAATACTATGCCAAGCAATCACCCATTGCACATTTACCTGCACTACCACAATATGCCAAAACAAGTTGTGGAAGGACCCTGGGATGGTGAATTAGGCATTTCTTCAAACACAATCACATGCACAACTTTACCTACATGAAAAAAAGAAACATCTCACTTAATACAATCCATACAGACATTCTATCATAGAAAAACATTGTATAATTTGGCCATGAAGTATCAGATTACACCATTCATCAGGAAAATGGGTACAAATATTATGCGTATATAATACACAATTGCAGGGATTAAAAGGAGGTGTAAAATCACCACTTCAATAATTATAATTTTCTGAAATTCTCACAACATGTCTATGAATGCAAGATACAAATTAAATTGTAGGTGATTTGTTTTCATCACAAACATCTAAATGAAATATGTTGTGTATAATATACCTCAAGTGCAATAAAATGCCACAAGTTTGATTCTAACAAGGGAATGGTAGTTCTATCTTTTACTAGCCAGGTGGTTAAAAAAGGCCATGATTGGTAAAGTCCATCAAACTTTAAATCCATGCAAAAAGATTCAACTAAATCACCTGAAAACCTATAATTTAGTGGTGTACTTAAATTAATTGGATTGAAATCAAATTTTTATTCATTACATACCTGTGTTTGTAAAAAACGTTGCTTCTAGTGGACCACCTTTTGTCTTTAACATTTGATTTATTGACTTGCATGCTCTTAGTTGTACTTTTATTCTATCTTTCGATTGTTGAAGTGGGGTAAAACCAAGAGGTTTTATCTCAGAATTTAGTATTGCTATTTTATTAACAAGGCATGAAAAGTCAGGCCTTAGTTTTGTACCATGAGTTTTACAGTCTAGTCAAATTCTATATTCATTATTGTTAGTAATAAATAATGGTTTAATGAGTGGATGAAGCAATTTGAAGCAATGTTCATCCTCAGACATTTTTTTGGGAGAAACTACAGGAACACCATAAGATCTGTTATACATAAAAAGTTGAGATAAACTTAATTACAATCTGTGACCTCACTATAATTTATATCTTTTGCAAACTGACTTACATATTGTTAAATACTACAGCTGCTGCTTGACCAATCTTTGATTCTGTTGGTGATAAAAAATCATTTTTTCCCTCAAGATGATCTGCACATGCATTTCATAGTGAAGACGAGACATCCACTGGTAATACTGGATCTGTTATAATCAGTGTTGTCAGCAGATGCAGACATGGACATGGACTATCCGGTCCAGGACTGTCCATGTCTGTGTCTGTCACTTTAAATGTCCTGGACCATTTTTGGACAAAAATATAAATTTTTGCCTACTACCTCTTAAAGCTTTGGTGAATCTGCAAACACTTTATGGTACAATTAACAAAGCAATAAAAGCTTCTGTAGAGTTCCTTTTATTTGCTTTACTTTTACTTTCTTTGGCCAATTGTTCAAGCATCAATCTTAGTGGTTTAAAGTCTATAGTTATATATTCTGAATCCTCAATCTCTTTGAGAGTCATGACCGTATTATCATTTTGATTTGATATATCTGCAAAAACAATGATAATAAATAAGTTTGATGCACCAGAAACTTGGTTCAGCCATTTCCAATTGTTAAGAGGACTTACCTTGAAAAATGACATGGGCTTTCTTTTTTATTTGGTTGCTCTTGGTGGAATAAAACAAAGTTAACATTAATAGCTTTAATTACATTTTATCTTTTGACTGTACCAGTTATTTAAAAAAAAGAATTTACATCAACTTCTTTAAGGGGAAATTTTGTCTTTCTTTTACTGGTATTGCTGTCATACTTGATTGATTTTAATTTTAAATTAGTTATATTATTAAAATAAGCAATCAGTTTGCCCATTTGAAGTTGGTATAATTGCTTACCAGTGGTGATGTGGATGATGTTATTGAGGAAGATATGGATGAAGAGGGGGAAAGGATTAGAACAAAAAAAAATTAACCATGAAATGTGTATATAGAACTAGAATGACAATGCGCTGTGACGATTGCAACCATCACCACCATTCTTTTAATAACTAGAGTGATGACAAGTGGCAATAACCACCATTCTTTTAATAAAAATAACACTTTTCAGGTTTCCTGATTTGGCATTTTTATAAAAAATACACATTAAAAAATGATCCAAAAAAAAATTTAATATTATATACAACCATCATTCTTTTTTAAATATATAACTAGAGTGACAATGGGTGGCGGGCGATAACCACCACCACCATCCTTAAAACACTTACCCAGCAATCGCTGCACTAACATCAATTTCTTGTTTTCTTTTATTC